TTAATTTGAATAATTAATAATAACTTTTCTGATAATCTCTATTGATAAATAAATTAAAAGTAATTTGTATTGGCTTTTAAAAACATTTTTTATTTAAATAAAAAATGAAAACTTTATTTCTTTGATTGATTTATTTGTACAGTAAGAAATACAAAGAAACGCTCACACTGAAGCATGTTTTGTTGTGCCTACAATGGGAACGCATCACTCATTATTTTGTGTAAAAATGTAAGCAAAGGCTTTTCTCATATTTACCATATCTCATATCACTGTAAAAATCTACACCACTTTTTTTAAAATTATGAACAAAAGTAAATAACGAATAAACGACTCTTTTTGTTGTTGTTTTTATAACAGATCATACTTTTTTTTATTGAGTCAAGTTGGGCTTTTCGTTTTTAGAAAATAAAACCAATGACAATATTACAAATAATGAAATTGTTACATCATTCACAGGGTTACAGTCAATATACATTTATACAGAAATACAGGATCTCCCACATCAGTCACAGTGGTCTGAACTGGCACTGGTCTATCGTGGGGGGGGGGGGGGGGAGACCATTGGGAACACAAACATCCCCTGCCCGCACTAACAAAGAGCGGGGGGGGGGGGGGGGGGGGGGAGGGGGGGGGGGGGGGGGGCAGGTATAGAAGCAGATTTGGGATAATGGAGAAGGATCACAGGGGTCATACACAACTCAAGTGCCAGGATGTGTTTTTCGCGGTACAAATATTTTTTCCAACTGAGGGGAAATACCCGGGCTAGCTCCGAGCAGCAGCCGGTGTTTGTCCATCAGCAGTTCGCCGAAGTGACCCAAACACTGGTGACCTCACAGACTAAATGACCACGTCAGTAGAGGGCGCTCTGGGGCTTCAGGCCGCCGCCGTTGAAACAGGAGCCATTTTCTGTGGGCCACAACAGGAGGCAGACTTCTTGCTCTGACCCTGATGTAGTTAAGTTGTGTTCAAATGCAGCCCGGAGGGGTACGGCCTGGCACGGCTCGTGTTTATGAACACTATCGTGTAACTGTAATTCTGACACTTAACGGTTTTTCCTCCGTCTCTAAAAAAAAAAATTGGCACACGGTGAGGGAGAGGGGGTGGCTGAGTGGTTCTTACTCTGAGTGTAAAATATTAGAATGTAACATATTGTTTTTGCTGAAAAATGCAGCTGGCAAACATTTAAAACCATCACCGGCGTCACAACCGCACTGCATTAGAGAAAAAAAAACTGTAAAAATGCTATTTGACAAGGAAAGCTGGAGTCTACATGTGCAGATGGCATATTCTGGTTGCTGTAAAGTTTTACACTTAAACATCTTGTAAGTTAAATAATGGCGTCTGGAAGTTTAGCAGCAATCCACTGCTCTGAGAAGGGTTTAAATGAGTTAAAAAAAAAAAAACGTCTTAACTTTCTTTATATACAAATCAACAACTTTCCCAGTGGCCAAATGATCTGATATGTCCAATTGCATTTTGTTATCTCCAGTTATGAACAAAACTGTCATTTGATGAAAAGTTCTGTCTAATTTAAAAAGGGAAAAAAAGGATCATTACAATGAAATATGCCTACCATAGTGTAAAAGATGAATAAGTAACCTATTTTATGTACACATTTAATACTCAATGCTGAATAACTTAACTAAAAGATGAGGGCCCATTGATCATTGCTTATGCTGAAAAGCATCAATACTTTGCTTTTGTGCAGTGCGAATCATAAGATACAAATAAATGCTTCATGCAATGCTTCCAAGTTCCCCACAGTCAAACTAAAGGTTTTTCAAACTCATTGAGATTCAATAAAAAATTGAAGATAAAAACAAAATACTCTCTGCAGCAAGAAAATAGAAACAGTATGCAACATGAAATCCATTTCAGCTCTACTCTGCCCTTATAATGCGTGCTCATCCTGTTTAAAGCAGTTCCTCCAAGCAAATGTCAAGGATAATTGCTTGATTAATAACTCAAAGTCTTGGCTACATCCATGGACAAGCATCTGAATGAGCGATAATGGGGCTGGAACAAAAAGAAAAAAAAATCCTCACCAGCCTTGTGCATACTTAAGAGTAATTTCTTGCACATTAAGTGCTTTTCCTGACGAGTATTAGCCGTTCCATGAGAAGAAATGCCGCCCGACTAAATAAAACTGATGAGTTTCTAAGTATTAAGAAAAAGGAAAAAAAAAAGATGATCTTAAGGTCGATAAAAACAAAAATACATTGGCAGCATTCACGTCACAGCGCTGCCTCTTTTCTGCTTCTCGACTATGACCTCACAGCTCATGTTTCCCCTCCTCCACTTTCATACTGTACTTTATGAAAAGCTTCCAGGGGAAATATTTGATCCGATGTGTCATACTGCAGATGAAAATAACCGAGCTGAGGATTGTGGCGCAAAAAAAAAAAAAAAAAAAAGAACCAAAAACCAATCGCTCCACTCTTGGCCTTTTAAATTCTATGGACAGCTGTGGGTAATGAAAGGTGGGATTAAGGTGGTTGCAGTGACTGAGGTTTTTAAAACTTTTTCTTTCACCAGGGGCTTTGGTGCTAAAGCTGTTTGAAGTGGCGGCCTTGAAAAAACTCAGGTCGGCGGGCTGAAGATTTGGTACGAGCGAAGAAGGAAGTGTTGTCTGGTCTGGAGGGAATCTCGGTGACACAAAAAGCGCCCACTGCTGCCGGTGCTTTCAAACACACCGAAGACGAAACCGGACAACTGGCGAAGGCCAGGCTACGTGGAGATCAGAGAAAAGCGGCCGACAGGTGGCCGAACAGGCGTGCGAGTGATCGGGAGGACAGAGACGGAACCGGTGCCCGGACCAGGCCGGCTGTGATCGGGGGTGCGGCCTTCCCGCTGTGACCACACACATCTGAACGATGGCTCACAGCTGGACATCCTTGTCTGGCTGTCAGGCCTCAGAGTTTAGACCGCATTGCATCATTTATTGTCCATGTGCGTGTACCCCTGTCTGATGATTCAGCATCTTATGGGATTCTCCACATTGCCATGATCTGTGCAGCTTCCCTCTACCCATAAACCCCAACAACAGGTTACTGGCACGAAAAAAAGAAAACAGAGACAGCACTTTTTCTCGTGAAATCAGACAACAAATGCATACAAACTGTCCACAAAATCAAAACCAAGACATGTTACAAGATGATGTGGTTTATCTACATGGTTTGTGCACCAACAGGTTTCTCTTTCAAAAATAAATCCGAAGAATTGATGGAAGATCCCAAGTGTTTGCTGGAGTCAAGCAATAGACTCAGTGCAGAAAATAACCTTTAAGCAATAAGAAACAATTCAATAACATCCATACACAAATCGCAACAATATAACACACGCTTTTACCTTTTTTATTTGACAAACGTCTGATTGCGAATTCTGTTAAAGACCGTGAGGGGTAAAACAACCTTGTGGTATCCACCAGACACCTGAAACTTAAAATGTCTTTTCAAAAAGGAAAAGTGGAAGAATACTGAAATATACTGCAAGTGTGCCACATCCAAGCTATAACCAAAACAGAGTTATAGCAATTACAGCAAATCAAAGCACTTTGTAAATGAATCACTCATTCAGCATGCGATCAAACACAAGCTCCAACACTTTCGGCGGCGACTGCCTCTTTGTGCACGTGGCATTTGTGTGTTTAACATGTGCATGTACGTACACACCGGCACTGGAGATGAACGACATGAGGGAGGATGTTGAAACGGAGCTCTGATGTAGAGAGTGGAAACTGTTGCTTTAGATGAGAATCTGTTGGAAGTCCGTTTGTAGTTTCTTACTAAATGTATCTTAACATGTTAAGGAAAGCAGCTAAAGAAGAAAATGACTTAAGTCCTCCCTGTAGTCTGTTCTTCTGCTCCTGAACTGATCGGTATAATAACTTTATGTGTCATAACGCTATGGCAGGTCAAGTGCATCTGATATGTACAGTACAGGATCAAGACAGGAGTGTGAAAGGGGAAGAGTTCTATTTGGCAGGCTGTGAATATTTCACACGGTGAAAGAAATAAAATTAAAAAAATTAGGAAAAATAGTCTTCGGCGAGAGAGGAAGCATGGTGACAGGGAAATCTTCACAAATTGTCCAACAATATAGAAAATTTCTTATAGAGAGGAAAAATGTTTTCTTTTCTTTCGAGTTGATTAAAATGTGTGAAAATTGTCAGTCTGATTGAACGTGTTTTTGACATCAGTCTATGTCACAAGTTGTCCATTCCATTTTTTTTTTGTATTCATTCTGATTTGAATCGATTGGTGATGGGTGCTCCAAGTTCCCTCTAATGTTTGCAGTCCACAGAGAACCCTGGGTTTCCACATGATGTCCAAAATTAAAAACAAAGATAATATCCACACCTAGTTGAAGATGGTCTCTGCAACTTTTCCTTCTTTCCTTTTTTCTTTTCTTTTTTTTTTGCCCTTTTAAAGGGTAGCCTTTTCTACACAGTTCATCTATTGTACAACCTTATATCATCTATTAAATTTAGATAAACTCCTTTCCTACCCAGCGTTTCTTTTTTTCCTTAAAAAATCTTTACAAAATTATTAGAACAAACAAACCCAAAAAAAAAAAAAAAAAAACAAAAAATAATAAATGTTCAACATCAAATGAAAGTTGGTGGAAGATTGAAAAATTAGTTGCTGGTCACTTCTAACCTCCGTCTTTTTGAAGCTAAAGGTGGGTTTTTAGCCGTCGGCGGCCTGAATTCTTCATCGCTTGGACTCGTGTTGTTGTCACAGTTCCCCACAGCTGATCCCAAGCTTTGAAGGGAGAGTCAGGGTGAGGGGAAAAGATGAGGAGGTGGGGAACTGGAGAAGGGGAGTGGGGGCTTGCTGGTAGCCTGGTGAGAAGACCAGACACTGTCACACCACAAAAAAAAAAAAAAAAGAGGAAGGGAAAAAAAAAAAAAAAAAAAAAGAAAAAACATCCATTCCTTCCTCTGCGCCCAAAGCCCCGCATCCTGACCGCCTGTATTTCCCCGGCTCTGCTCGGGAGGGTCAAACCTCCACCGACTGGATCTGGTTCATCTGTGCCCGCATCATCTGGACGCTGTTGAGAATCTTCTTTTGATGGCCTGCTAACGTCACGCCAACCCTCAGGATGTCACTGTGAAGCACAGAAACAGATGTTAAGCTTAAGTTACCACAGGCTATAAACAGTCTTTCATAACTCATTTATCCGCCTATATTCATATCTGTCAGTATACGTGTGTGTGTGTGTGTGCGTGTGTGTGTGTGTGTGTGTGTTGTGTCTGTAAGGAAAAAAATAGACTTGGCAGATCTCTATCGGGAACTGGTATAAAAAACAAAGACAAAAAAACAACACTATCTCAACGTCGTACGCGAACATGAAACATGACAGTGTGACAACAGAAAAGATAAATGTACAGCAGGATGGCAGCAACACAACACAACCATTTAAATTCTCTCTGACTAAAAAGAGTTGTCCGTCCATGCATTTTTGAGGCTACAGAGCTTCTATAGTTGAACATAAAAACATTTCTAAAGTCACTTTTAAGTTTTCTGTGGTAAACCCGAGCAGTCCTACACTGTAAATGATAAATTCCCATTTCTTTAACTATACATACACAACATTCATTGCAGAGGCTACATGCTGATTCCATAAAAAACAGTTCAGTAGTGTCAAAGCAGAGGCATCAACAATTATTACCCACTCACTGCTCTGTAGTGACTTATCAATAAACTTTTCCTCCTCCCTCATGCTGAATGTCTTCGGTAATTACATTTGCTGCATTACGCATTACCATCTGTTTAATTCAAAGACCTGAAGGCAAACGTCTCTTTGGGGAGAATTTCTGGCTCGTTATGTTGCTATCCACTCATAGGAAGTGAGTGTTTTCTGTTTTTTCAACAAGTGGGAGGACATTTATTAAAGGTTTTTTTTTTTTTTTAAAGCGAAGCAACCTTGTACTCTATTGTTTCTTCTGATCTTCTAATAGAAGTTAAGGAGAGGTCTGCTGAGCACATGGCAGAGAATAAAGGTTACAGTTTTCCTTTGAGCTATTTTGCCCACTGTTCAGACGTGCAGCTACAACATTATGAGCTGATAATTAGATCCAGAGCTAGCCATCATTTGCAGAAGACCACAGGCAGAGTTTGGCTCCTTCCCAGGTTTTAGACCCAAACCGAGAAAAAACACGTTTGTACTGATCAAATTTTAAGTGTAAGGAATCATAAGCACTTACTCCATGGTCATCTGAGACACCACATCAAATGTAGAAAAGTCGGAATTGGCAAAATTGTCTTTGTACTGGCCCATCTTAATGGCATCCAGCCATTCATCCACATTGCTGAAGGTGGAGAAATCTGGGATACTGCGGTCCAAGAGAGGGAGATGAACACTGAGGGGGAATATAAACAGGAGCTATTATGAGCAATACATAAAACAATACGAAACGGCGGTCTAACATTACAGCACAAGACACCTGCATATGATTTTGAAGACGACTTTTGTTACATTTTCAAAACACCAAATGGAAGTTGGAGGATCCCACAGGCTTAATCCGGGAACCAGTATGTTCCAAACTGATTCCTCATAAAGGGTATTTTCCAAATGAAGTGATAGGCTTGAGGGAGCCAATGTATCCACTCAGTGTCTGTGGAAAATCGGCTCCCTGGTCCTGCGCTCCACCACATATGAAAGTACAGACAGGGATAATGGAAATCAGCTAGCCCTGGCTCTTAGAGGGAAACTAACACCCAAAGCAAAAATGCTTGAAAATGTTTTGTTTTGAAAACTGCACAACTCCTTCCACCCAAGATTCGCCTGAAGCGTTCGTGGGAAGGATTGGATCTATCAAACCAAAAGGCTTTAATTTACATAACTGCTTGGCGCCAGGAGAAACAGGAGACTGTGTGTTTGGCAAATGCGAAATGTGCCATAGATGACAGTGTAGCAAAAGCCTGAATTTCCTGTTCGAAATGAAAGCTTCGGCATTGACGAAATCCCTCGATGCGCTGTGTGATTTAAGATGTTATTCACATCAGTGTGAGATGATGCTAAAATAAAGGCCTGTCTTGTGGGGTTCCTTTTCAGTGGAGATAAAAAAGACATGCAGATGCCACATAGACAGTGAAGTATGAGGGGTGAAAATGTGTTTCGCTCACCCTGAAGATAAAGGAGTCATGGCCTTCAGCGTGTTGGGATTGCGAATCATCTTATCGAGGTTGTTAACTATTTGGCTGAACTTGGGCCTGTTGTTGCGGTCCTTTTGCCAGCAGTCCAACATGAGCTGGTGCAGTGCGCTGGGGCAGTCCATGGGAGGAGGTAGCCGATAGTCCTGCTCTATGGCATTGATTACCTGTGGGGGGAGACACAGATCTCTAAGGGTTGCTATAAGGCTCTACAAAGAGGATATCGATTGGTGGAGAGGAGAAAGTGTACATTCCAGTTTTCGAGAAAGTACTTGTATCCTTTTCTTTGTTAACATATCTCAGTGTGAAATACTTCATTAGTGGAATGAATGGAAACAAGAGGGTTGTGCAGAGTACTTATGTGTTGTCAATGTCTTGCCACCTGTAGACAACAGGTTGAAAGCTCTCGGTTTCAACCAGGTATTGTAATGGGGTGCAAAGCTAACACCTATTAAGCATAGAGCTGAACACGAGTGACGTTTTTCCATGAAAAAGCTTACTTCAAAGAATGATTTGAGGTTAAAAGAGGGGATACAATATTAATGTACATTTATACTATTCTTTTTTCTCTGTTTCACAAATTATTCATAATGTATCATATCTCCAATTAGCAATATGCTTTTCATCTTTAGCAGGTCAGCATAGTGCTAAGTTCTGGTTATCGTGTGTTGGGTGCAGACAGTCCAAAGGCTCAAAAGACAATTTGAAGACATAATATTTGTTGCAAAAGTTAAATAGTTAAGCCAAAGATCTTAGATCAATGATAAAGATGATACAGATATTTCACTAAATTTTCTTTCATTTCCACACAACAATTTGCATTGATCATTTTTGCTCTTTATAATTTTTTTCTGTGAGAAGTTTGAGTGATGACGTAAAACCTTATTCCACTACACTGAAGTTATATCTTCAGCCTGTGCAGTATTCTTAATGTATGCTACATCAAGTAGTCTTTCAGAAATGTTTGACACTTGCATGCAGAGAAAAAAAAAAGGGAGGACACTCCTCTGCTCATTAGAAGGTCATTAAAGAAGCTCCATTCAGACCCAGATTAATTTCATTCAGGAGACCTCCAAACGAGGACCCCGATGGAGCAGAAACACTATCTGGAGCTGCTAATATGATAACCGTTGAGGTCCTCAGTCCCTCTCAGCACATTAGTGTTCTCACTTTCAATTGGAAACTATTTTCATTATCTATCTCCCCATAATTTGCTCTCTCCTCCAATACCCAGAGGGAGCTAGAAAATGGAGGCTCCAGTCAAGAGCAGAAATTGTCCACTGAGCACTGCTGTGAATTTCAAATGATCTGATAACACTTCTGTGGTGAGTGTGTGGGAATGCTCCTAGAAAAACTCTAGTGTTTAGCTAAGGGAAACGGATACAAATGACAAAGTATACCTCTGAGGAATTTGAAGCTGTGATGAAATTCAGAAAGCCAAAGGCCTGTGAGTGCAGTGAAGCCTTGTCTAAAAATGTCATCGGGGAGACCCAGATGAAGGTTAATATGTTAAATACGTACATCTTGATTGGTCATGTCCCAGTAAGGCCTCTCTCCATAGGACATGACTTCCCACATGACTATCCCATAGCTCCACACATCGCTAGCAGAGGTGAACTTCCTGTACTGGATGGCTTCGGGTGCAGTCCATCGGATAGGGATCTTCCCTCCCTGTGAACACAAAAGCCAAAACCTAAGCATGGGAGGCGAAACTGAAACATGACCGCCACAGTGTCCTGGCTCTAGAGAGAGAGGCTGTTCACCCTGACAATACAGACGGTAATCCAAACTGGGGTGCGGATATAATAAAACTCTTGGGAGGAAAAAGTGGTATGTGAAACACTGTGGAAGGAGGAACAGAACAGGTGAGAGACAGAGTTTGTCTCGATGTGTAACTGTTTGTGAGTGCATTGATAACTGATGGGTCCATTAAAATAACGCACAAAACTTTTAGATGAGCCATAAAATGGACTGTAGGCAAGTTTTTATTTATACAACTGTTACTTAAAACGTACTTAAGAAGACAGATTCCCCCCTCTTTACTAAGAGTGCATGTGAAAGTAGAATTTAAATATTTCATACCAAAGCACTGGTGTAAGTAGGGTCTGATGTATCATCCTCAAGGAAGCGTGAAAGGCCAAAGTCTGAGACTTTGCACACGAGGTTGCTGTTGACCAGGATGTTTCGAGCAGCGAGGTCACGATGCACATAATTCATGTCGGCGAGGTACTTCATGCCTGAGGCGATGCCACGTAGCATACCAACAAGCTGGATCACTGTGAACTGGCCATCATTTTGCTGTGAAACAGACACAGTGTGTTATAAACTTACACACTATTTGGGTTGTCTGACTATGAAAGGCATAACGTGGCCATCATGTCACATCTCATATTAAACATTTTCAGACAAAGACACAAAACTCAACAATTTTAACTGACATTTTCTAAAATCTTGAAAATGCATATCTCATCATCAAAACAACATACAATACTTAGATATCAATTTATAATCGAAATCATCTTTGTTTCAAAATGGCTTGGATGCAACCCTACGCCAATGCTTCATTTAACATGTGCAGATCAATATGAGAAGTAGGCTTGCCCATGTCCACTGCTTGCTTGATAGCATTTGCTCACACTGGGCTTGAATACATTTTCAAAAAGCAAAGAAAAGGGCTCAGAATATTTCATAAACCAGCTTTGACAAGTCCCACGCGTGGAAGTTCAAAGGCGGAGCAAGGTGCTTATTTCACTCATGATATGCATTTAAGCATATAATAAAAAACACCATATGGAGATGTTAACAAGGTCAAAAGCTTCACCGGCGGCAGTCTTTAACTACCAAATTACCTGCCACATGTTTTTTTTTTTTTAGATTGTAAGTGTTCTTTCCTTAGTAAACACCACGCTGTACCTTAATGTGACTTTTTCAACAAAATGTCTTCAAAAATGTGTTCAATAAAATTAATGCACAGCTATTCAAATAAATTAAATGTAATACACTGTAAAGAGGTTTTTATTAAATTCAGGAAATAAAGGGGATTTCCTTTTATTTTCATAGATAGAAATTATTTTTAAAAAAGATCTTATACATGTAATTATATTATTATAAACAAATGTGACAAGTCCACACTGCTCTTTTGGTGAAATTGATGTAAAGAATTAATATGGACATACAATCTCTACCTGAAATCCAAAAAGTATGCGATTAACGTAAAAAAAAAAGTTACTTTTCAGCTTCCATACAGAAACCCTGCAGGACACCAACACCAGCGGGGCTAGTCCGGTCTGAGCGGGGCCTGGCTGTCTTGTCTACAGCTGTTCCCATGCTCCGGCATGGTGACGGCTTTACCCCATGCACGGGGAGTGTCTGGAGCAGTGGTGCAGCTGTGTGCCTCCAACTGTGCACACCTGCACTCTCTCCACCACCCACCATGATGCCAGGAAAACACAAGATTCCGGAGAATGGGGCACGGGAGCAGCGAGGTCGAGTGCAGACAGACAGAGAGGTTAAAAGAGGAAACTGCACGAGCAGGCACTGAGGTTCCCCGGAGCACAGCCAGACTCCTTTAACCTATTTCCCTTTCGCTGCTTTTGCTGCTCATTATCAGAGTGGATGCCTCTCCTCACGTTGAGCTGCTCCTCCTTGTGTATCGCAGTAATTAACCAGAATGCATTATTCATGAAACCTTTTTTTTTTTCACAGGAGCACAAAGCTATCTAAGCTGAGGGGTTATGTTTGGACCGAGTTTAATTTGAAAGATTCCTCCCGTGGCTTCCTGAAAGATATAAACCCTGAAGTAGGGTGAGCAGAGTTCTAATGACGATGTTCCCCAAAAGTCTCTTGAGGCTGAGGTTTGTGCTTACAGACAAACATGGTCCAAGCTCTGATATTTTCTATTCACGCCCTCGTGTAGCCAAATCTTCAGCAGGCAGCTCGGCACTGACTGCGGAAAACAGCGAACCACCAATTTCCCCGAAAAACAACAAAAACAGGCAAACACGAACCGTGTTGCAAACCTTTGACACCGTCAGCAGCCATCATCAGACTGTCACTGGTAGGTGTTACAAAAGCCCCCTTTCTATGTTTTGAACACAATGCGCTGTCGACGCTGTTTAACCAACAACTACATGTACACACACACAGCCTCCGCCGCCAGATCAAATTCTCAAAAGAGCTGATGCTTTGCATCTCAGAGATCAGTGGCAGAATGCAGATGAAGGCTCTGAGCGTAGCCCAAGCAGTGTGCTGACAAGAGATTGTTTGCCGGCTACTAGCAGGGATGTTTTTGATGTACGTAGTCTTGGAGGAGGGAGCTTCCACCGACAAACTGGGAGGATATTAAACTGGTGGGACGCAATTAAAGGCAGAGGCTGTTTTCAGGAAGCATAATGATACAGGTAATGCAATGTGATTAGTTTGATTCTGAGCATGAAATCGAATATTTCCAAATTGCATTTTTTTTTTTTGCACATCCAAAAATGAAGTGCTATTGTAGGCTTTAATAAAACAAACATCTCATTTCTAAACTACAAGCGGAGTTTCTGGTGACCTCATTCTGTAAAGAGATAAAGAAACCTGTCCCATGAGGTCAAATCTACACCCTAATTTGCCAATAACGGATGAAGTCCTGAAATGTCCAGTAAAAATGAAGAGCACCTTGAAGGAGCAGAGTTCCTCAACACAAGCATGGACATAAATATCTGGTCTTTTATGCTGCATTTCCACTCAACCTTACATGTGTTACAATAACTAACTGCATTTATTCTTCCTGGCCAAAGAAGCAAGGAATAAGCTGTGTTTTAAAGACTTTTCTATAGGACAGTGTATGATCTGTATATTTCAGAAGAATGAGGACTTTTCTCAGTATAAAAGCACTGAATTTATGCTTTTCTCCTCAAGTCAGGCATGGACATCTTCAACACCGGTGCTCAGAGACAAAAATCCGAGCAGGGCTTTTCACTGATGTATCGTCCAGACCAGAAACTTTGAAAAGAAATCTGTCCTTTCAAGCTCTCGGCGCTTAACTGTGCTCACCTCTGACATGGACTGAACTGTTTGCAGGGGTGATGGAAAATGGCCAGAATAATTTCCTTAACCATTCCCTCAGAGGAAGGGAGCAGGACGTGTATATTATAGAAGCAGCTCCTCAGTCCATGACTGTTTGAATTTCTTCGGCTACCTTGCCTTCCTCACTCGGTTTATGGCCCATGATAGTTTTGGCCTTGTAGATGATTTTGATAATCCACCCGATATCTGATACACATGCTGCTCCCCCAGCAGACCAAAGAGCAGTAAATGGCCCTTTTCTACCACAGAATAATAAGTATGCTGCATCAATGTTGCCACTCCAGCCAGACCTTCTTTTCATGTGGGCACACAAGTATTTGTATTCTTCCACTAATTCAACCTCCTCTGCTGATATGAGGGAGTTTATACTAGCAGCTCCTAAAAGTTGAACACCATCTTTTTTGCTTTTGGCCAGATTGAGTAGCAGATTCATCCTCTCCAGCCTGTCATCGGCTCTCTGTACCGCTCCTCATCTCTAATACTCCCCACCGCCCCGAAATCGTCAGACAATCACTGTCGGTGGCATGACTCAGAGAACAGGACAGTCCCCCATGGTGTTCCTACACTATTGACCACTGTGTCGACGGGGAGCCAAACAAACCGAGGCACGTCAGAAAGAGAAATCCAAAAATACAGTTGAAACACTAGCATCCATCCTGGGCGGGTTATCACAAAACACAAGCGGTCGGATGGTGTTGAAGACATTGAAAAACTGTGATGAAGAACGTATCAGTCAATGCTGCCCACAGTATTGAATATCATGCTGAACATAACAGTCAATACTCGCCCACCTTCTACACAACACTGGATTGTGTTCAATCAGAAGGTCTCTTGAGCTCTGCTATGACACAGAAGGAAATCTGTGGCAGGGGCCATAATCATAACAGCTGCAGATTCTAATAACTGATGGGGAAATAAACAATAATGCAACCCCATTATTTTCCTTTCCGGGTAAATAGTATTTTTATTTCATATGGAACCCGCTCTATCTTTGTGCCAGCTGTTTAGGAAATGCTCTATTCAGCCCTTTAGAGTCTGTATTGTTATTTGTTAGATTGAGCTGGGATGATGTGTACAGTGCTGTATTACTCTTATACCACAATTATGGTTATAGGAGTGAATGGAACTGGATGTCCTTTACTTGAATGATTAATGGTGTCATGGTTAGCTGTTTTATGGTGACATTAGTTCACTAAGTTTGTATGACAAAAAATGGACTGAACATTGGACTTAACACTGAAGACATTGACAATCACAGTAATACATTGGACACACTAATAATATATACTTTTTTAACGGGTTTTGTTACTTCATGAGAGGCAATGATTGGAATTAATGGTTATCTTATAACACTTAGTGTACACGTCTAAACTTAATGTGTGTCACATTAAATAGAGATATCCTTTTTCATCACTAAAGTTGGTATGTCTGTGTCTTTAGAAAAAGACATACAACCCTAGATTACATTAATGAGAAACCGTTGTGCTCATTTTAAAACAAATGCTGAGCTAGCAATCACACTTGACGAGAGTAAGCAACAAAAAAAAGAAAAATTTGTCCAAACGATTTGTTTTATTTTATATCCTTCCAACACGGATGGCAATGGGTCGCCTGATATTTCATATCACAGACCGTTTAATTTTTAAACATCTGACATCTCATTTTGAGTCTTGCAAAGTATATGAATTTTTTATGTCGGTCATAAATGGGGGCACATGGAGAGTCCTTTGTAATATCCTTCACTGGTAAAATAATGAAAAATTTAAAATCCAATGAACTCATGAGCAACGTATATACTTTTGTCTGGGAGTGAGGGTCTACATCTGCTGATACCCATGCACATTACAATATAATTAGTGTAATAGGGGAGTAAAAAAAACGTAGACATCTAATGCCAGAGAAAGTTATGATAAACTGTAATGACAGAATTTGCCAATAATAATTTGCTGATCTATGTTTATAGGAAATGTAAAGCTATAAACTGGGTTTTTCAAATGGTAAAATTGTTATACACATAACTGATAAATCCCTGTTTGTTAAGCTAAGATACAAAAAGTTTCATATTACTTAAAAGTTTTCTATCACTTTGAAATGTTCAACTACATTTTAGAGGAAAATATTTTACATATAAAAAGCTCATATTTGAAGGTGTAAGTGTATTTCATTCAAATCTAATTGGCAAACTGATCATAGCCAAGCTAAGGCACTTTTGATTAATGTTAATACTGTAAATGATCATAACAACAGTAAAAATAAGAGTACTTGTAAATCTTTGGATAGTTATATGACAATTTCATAGCAGGAGATTTCCTCTTGTCAGGTTTTGACAGATAGTTAGCAGGTGGCTCTGCGGTTGTCTAGCGAGGCAGACACTGTAAGCCGGAGCCGTCGTAAACTCATTATGCTAAGATCATCGTATCAATTTTTAGGCTTGTCAAACTAAAGGCTCTTAATGGGGGGCCCCCAAGCTTCCAAGCAGCTTCTCTTGTCAGTTGGTGAAGCAAACATTACAGTTAGCACAAACAACTACAGTTTAGAGCTTTCAGCTGTTTCATTAGGGGTGTGTATGTCACCCAGCGTTGCTGGTATGACACATCTGGAAGTTTTTAACCATCCTCATGTATATAACTTTACTACTGTAACTTTTGAAGATAATCCTGCCCTGCAACATAATGATTAACACTGCATAATGATCTCGGTATATCTTATTTTCATGAAGACAGACAAAATGTTCAAATGTAAAACAAATAGGAGCAACTCAAAATTGCAATGTAGAACAAATGTGGTTTCTCACTCTGAGGAAGGTGTCGAGAGATCCGTTCTCCATGAACTCAGTAATGATCATGACGGGACTGCTTTTGGTGACCACGCCTTCCAGATGAATGACGTTAGGATGGTCAAACTGGCCCATGATGCTCGCCTCGCTCAGGAAGTCCCGTCTCTGCTTCTCGGTGTAGCCAGACTTCAGGGTCTTTATGGCCACAAACATCTCCCTTTTACCCGGGAGCTTTAGGTTGCCGCTGCACACTTCCCCAAACTCTCCTGTTGGAAGGTTACATAGTAGAAGAAAAAAAAAGCTGAGTGACATGTGCAACTGAAAGTAAGTGGCTTTCATGCATCTACTTCTATTTATAAATCAGCTGTATCCTATCCACGTTTCAGTCAGATTTTTCCATTACCTGCACCAATGACCTGTTCAATCTTCACACAGGATATATCAATCTCCTTGGCAAACTCCCTCACAGCTTCATTGGGGTCCTCATATGTGAATGGATCAATGTAGATCTTCATTCCTGGAGTCACTTGTAAGACAGGAGACAGTCACTACAATATTTGGTTCTTGCGCTCATGCTTAAAACTCCTGTGGGCAATTATGGGATATGTTCTCAGGACATTCAGGCAATCATGACAGCACGATGGAGGAGGCAGTATAATTACAAATAGTAGTTACATCAAATGCCTTATGGAAGCCAGCAAGGACATGGCAGCTCCAGGTCTCTGAGCTATGATATGGCGCATTAAGATATATAATAATGTAAAATCATCTCTATTGAGCCAGAGTACTATTAACACTCAGGGAAGCAACCTGGGTCCTATCAGCAGTACCCTGCTCCATTCCTGGAAATAAATTGGCTGTCCTAAGCCCTGATGCCAGGTAAATTGGCTTAAGGTGGCCTTTAAGTGTTCAGGGACTTAAGTGTCCTGAGTTTTAAATCCGATTATTCTGCTCATACCTCCACATCAGACCTGAGGCTATTTGAATGGATACTGAACTCACGCCTGGGTTGCTGCGGAGCCAGAAGAGCGTGCACACTGCCTCAAAACCTGGCACAATACGTTTAGAGAAACCATGCTGCTGACAGGAACAGATGGAAAGGGTTTTACCAGGCAAAAGCCTGCATTACTAAACCCTACAATCTCTTCTCAAGATGAAGTACTGTTAAACAGGCCACCTTACTGCCATGGCACCCAAAAACAGGGGCAGAAGTCTGAGCTACGGCTGGTGTGGCAACAGGATGCATACAAGACACATCGGCTTTAGATAATAGCCGCGAAATACCCTGAGCCCTTCACTGGCATTCTCTTCACTGACACACAAACCTGACGTCTTTGCAGTGTGCTTGGATTTTTTTTTTAAACTCTTTTACTGTATGAGTGGATTTTATTTTATTTTTTAAAGATGAAATAGTGATAATTGCGCAACCAAATAAACAAAAATGGGACGATAAGTGGGATGGAACGGGAACGGTTCTGTGCGTTTGAATAACAGGCAAGAGAGGGACAGATTAGCTGTAACGTGTGAGACGAAGCCAAGCCGAAATTACTTCCCAGCTCTTTTCGCATAGATTTATCTCTGCATTATTGCCATTTCGACGCTTTGCTGCCGCACTGTATGAGGAGAGAAAATCATTGAGTAATTCCATTCATTCACCCAAATCTTTAGAAAATTTCAACAATGGCAAATGACTCGTGTGCATTAGCATCCTAATGGCCTTCACAAGTGAAGACTGACCTAGTTCCAACACAATGGATTTAGTTAACTATGAAATGTGATGCACAGCACACACACACTTGAGCGCCGGGTTTGACGCGGCTAAATCCAGTGCTCCGAGTGAGCAGAATCAAACAATGGGCAAGATTAGTCGGAAGTGGTGGCCAGAAAAATCGAGGCGGCGCTGTGCAGGGCCGTAGCCAAGGACATCAGCAAGCAAGGTGGTAGCCATGGATACAGGTGTGCGAGGCAGCAGAGTGCCAAATCATCGCCATGGAGAAGAGTGTGTGTGACATCGTAGTCATGGAGACAGATGTGTTAATGCTGTGAGATAAACCGAGGATGGATGGGAGGCGCAGTGATGGTTTTACTCACTGTGGCCGCTGGTGTAGTGCTGCAGTTTGTCTGTGTATTCTGAATCGGCCCTGTCGAAGCCACGCCTCCTGGGGAAAAGACAAAGAACTCAAGCTCCGGTTCAAAGAGAGGGAGCAGGGTGGGATAGACATTAATCAAACCCCAACCCCAGGTCTACCTTGTTTTGTAGCTGCACTGACAAAGGGATCCCGTCATGCTGTCATACAACGAAAACATACATGCCTTTTTTCACTGTCATGTCAGTTTCGTGTCTATAGTAACTATTTGAATATATTGGGCATATCATACAAATTCTCAAAGGGAAGTGAGTACCTCTATATAAATATCAAGAGTATTAGACAGAAAGTTTGCAGCCCAAACAGTGGATTGGACTGTATCATTGAGGTACATCGAGATGACAATTTCTACATTCATTCACTATATAACTAAACAGAATTGGAACTAGGTTATACATTTTACACTTTCATATACTAAGTAAGGTTTAGATTAGGTTGCTCTTGCTTAAACCTATTATTAAACTGCTTCAATTTCTTTTACTCAACACTATACTGAACTGCCTTTAGTCTGTCATTATGCCTCAATAATCTATGAGGGTGATATATCGCATGGGGGAAATCTGCCGCAATAACAAAGGTATGCTCAGAAATTCATCTTCTACATTCTTTTGTGACTTAAAATACTGCACAGCTGCAGACCTGCAATTTTATTACATGCTGAAGTTAAAACTGACATCTTAACCTTGGGTTGTAAACTTTTGATACCTATTGAGCGCAATTCTTCAGAGCTTTCATTTTTGAAGAAGGCAACTTTATAATAGATTTATGTTTGCTGCTGGAAGAAAGGAATCTACTAAGAATGGATATATCTGAACCAAAGTCTATTTATTCCATTTCTTATTGTACCACTCAAATATGTAAAGCAAATAGACCAAAGGTGAACCTATGAAACAAAAATATATAAATGTGAAAAGGAGAAGGCCTTCTTTCAATAGCCACTTCTGTTGTTATACTGGCAAAAGGGTTTAAGAAAACTGTGACAGGACTGACTCACCGATTACAGACGATGATAATAACAACCACAGCTATGAGGAAGACCAACCCTGCAGCTGCCGAGCCTATGATGAGAGGTAGTTTCTCCTGAATGCTTGTGTTGTATTCCTCTGAAAGATAATAATGATTAAAAAAAAACCATAAAGATAAACATAATGCCATGATCACACATCCACACACACAGTCACGCAGAGTCACAAGCTGAAACATATGGGGGAAGCATCTGAGCCCCTGCATATGGAGGGAGCAATGGGTGACAGGCAAACATACGGCTGGGTGAAGCCATGAGCATCTTGGCATCTCGACTGGCTGCGCGGACCATTTTACAAACCGCGCTGAATGTTATCAGATGTCGCAGATATGGACAAATCATCTGGCAGAAACCGTGTGAAGTGCGGAGAGAGAGAGAGAGAGAGAGAGCATGTCTGGGTGAGGCCCAAACTGATCCGACAGCCAAGACTGACAAAGCAGCTACTGAATGGGCACATTGAGAGAGAGCCAGATTTTTTCTTCTGAACACCACAAATGACACACAACTGCATCATTTCAGCAAGACGCACCGCTGAGCTTGGATGAGTTTAATCTGCTCAGCAACAATAATTCATCCAGTGTAACAAATCACAGTTATCCAATTATTTATTTTCCCAGTGGTATGTATAACCAAACACGAGTTATGTTTTATCACCAATTACATATTCTTTAAGAAATTTTCAATTTCATATATAAATTTTAGATATAAATTGCCATTTTTAAGTTTAAAACACACTTGTAAAACAGCTTCCGTCAATATACCTTCTGTTTACACAACGGTTTACCTCTATAAGTGTTATATTTTCTATGCTTCGATCTGTGCATATGGCAAAATCAAGGAGTCATGCTTTTGCGTGAGTTCAGACGAATGATGGCCAAAGGCATAACGGGAGTAACAGGAAATGAGATGTTGTAGAGGGAAAACCCAAGCAAAGCCCTAACATTAACCTGCTTGATCGTTGTTAACTAGATGGGCCATCATTTCAAAGGTGTTTCAAATAGCTGCCTTAAAGTATTTTTTTATCAAAATAATGTACAGGATCATTGCTGTTATAATAAAAAAAAAGACAATTAAAGTGTGATTTCAAGCCACAGTCATACTGTTTACCACAGATGCCTCCTACTCATTCTTGCAGCTGTCTGAATCCATACTGCCCAACGTGATGTGTCGAAAAGCCATGCATGAAAGGCGATAAGAAGCCTGCGTGCTCTGGTGTACATTGGCTGAATTCTCACCCTCCGTCATGGTCTGGAAGTACAGCTTGCCACTGTAGCGCCCGAACCCGGCCACAGTGCGGGCCCGGACCTGGAACACGTAGATGCTTCCTGGCTTGAGGCCACGGATGACCACCGTGTTGGTCTGGCTTCTGATGGTGGTGGAGTTATACTCCGATTGATCCTGGGAAAACAGAGATAGCACGTTCAGTCGAGAGTAGAGAAGAAAATGACGACGCGATTGCCGACGGTAAACATTATGCCGCATAAATAGATTCTCTTATCTCGAATCAGGATGCCGGAGGCAATTGCAAATTGCATTTCATTTATAATACTTTTACTAGTATCAGCTGAAGTATAACAGAAAGAAGCCTGACGAGTTGCAGACGCTGTGATGGGCCGGTGAGCGGTCCACTGCATACCCTGCCTCTCACCTAATGACAGCTGGGATTGAATCCATCCCCCCCACAACCCCTGAATTACAAAAACAGATAAGGATGTATAGAAAATGGATTGATGTGTGTCTCAGAACGGTAACCAGGAAAACAAACCCGAATATGAATAATGTCTGAGAGAAAATTGTGAAAAAGGAAAAAAAAACATCTAGCAGCTGCTTTTGAGACAGCAGATTTGATGGTGTTTTCAGTTCTGGTGGCTCCTCTGAGTCCTATCTTCTGACTATCTTTCACTGTCCCCCCACCCCCCGTCTCTAAATCGCAGACAGGTCTGAGAGCAGAGACAGGGACTTTTTCAGCTGCTTCCTTCAATACACTCCTCAGCGCTCAGTCCAGATTCACAGCGGGGGCCAGAAAAATTGTTTTGACAGCTTTCTCCAGCAGAGTCAGAAAAGGATATTACACTCCTGTAGCAGCTTAGCCAATCAGGTTTAAATCTGTTGTTGATGTGTCTTTGCTAAACTGGCCCATGCTTTTTAAGTGACAAATCACCATAATTATATTATGATATTCAATGTGCGTGCACTAAATAAATGTAAATAAAACTATTTAGAGCTTTGCAGAAAGAGATTAATTCAGTGTTCTCTGCTTTTACAGTGGGACCTCATGATTATAAGAAATGTAAATAAAGAAAATATAAAAGTCTGTTTCTCTGCAAATCAGCACAAGTGAATATGTTGTAATGACTGCGGCTATGGCAATACGAATTTATTTGAAAGTTATGCTTGGATCAACAGTCATATGGGACTGTAAATGTTCTTGTGAGAAAGTATGCTGATTTGGAGGAGCTTGCCCCTTTCAAACTATTTTTACATCAGTCAGCGTACCATTGTTTCAACCACAAGTCTCAGAACATCGATCCCTGGTGGCACTAGCACAGGCCTGCGCGCGGTTTCCTTTCCCAATGACTGACCATGATTATAATTGGAATAGAATGAGCAAAGGTTCAGAGCAATATTCAGAAGCCAAATGCCTTGAAGGATCTTCTGCTATGTGCATGAATTTGAAGAAATTCTGAATTGAAAAGTGCATCATGAAAAACAAAAACATGTTTTCCCCAGCTACTTAGCCTGAGTGGAAGAGGACAGAATATATCAAATTTTCAGAGTGAATCGAGAAATTGAGAAAGGAGATGTAAGTGTCCCTGTGTGATTGTGCACACGTTGTACCTTTTCATAATATTGAAGCTCATAGTCCAGAATGACTCCATTAGGCTGGTCTGGCTGGGACCAGGAGAGGGTGATGCTGTCCACAGTACGACTGACCTGGTGCATTATAGATACAGTGGATGGAGCTGTGAAGAGACAGAAGCAGAGTGTTAACTATGAAACAGATCAATCTGCATCAACAGTCATGCTCAGAGAATTTTAAAGGACCTTTGATCTTATACCTCTGCAGAGGTGCAAGGCCATAAAATCTATGGCGTACACTACTCTGCAGCCTTCTGTTCATCAGGGGATCATGGCTAAGGAAAGAGTGCAGCCTGGCGTGTCCCAACACTTAAATCATGTGCGAACCATCATGGGACTTCCCCACATCTACTGTTACTTTGATAAGGTTAATTTACACTTGTCAGGCGGTGGATAAAAGAACAAATAAATCATTTTCAAATCACCAGACCACCATGTAATACATGAATGAAAGCACATTTTTCAACCTTTAAGATAAAAAGAACACACTGTAAATCATATGAGATCCATTTACTTTCAAATAATTGATCATATGTAGAGCATTTACTATTGTTTTTCATTCCAAATCTTTTGAAATAACAGCAAACAAATTGTGTAGAAACTGTGAAGAGTTTTTTTTCAAAGGGACTTTATACTTGAAACGCAATGTCTGTTTTTACAGATATTTCTCATGAATAATCAGCTGAGGGGGTAAATCTCTCAGGTTGTGTGTTCGATATTTGATGGATTTATTCCTTTTTAATGTTATTTCCTGCTGAGAAAAAATGTTCAGGTCAGCCACTTCTTTTGTCATCCAATTTCTGTGGTTTTTAATCTCGTCTACTGTGCCAATAAATATACCATGTTTTTGGTTAATGGTTCTTTAAGAGTCACCTTGTTGGTGCAAAAAATGCAATTTTATGCCTGTCAAACAGCTTTAGAAATATGAACAACTAAAGCTTCTTTACAAAAGCCTGAAGGTGATAAAGTACCAAAAGATCTTGTTCTGTGACGATCTGGCTCCGCCCACTGGCTCACTCACTTCCTCAATCAGCAATATTGGTCGCACCTGTCATGGTCAGTACAAAAACCCCTCTCACTCACTCACCTGGGCCAGAACGTCTCTAAACAAACCGTGTGAGTACTTCCAGCAATATTATTCTGCCTGCCTGCCTGTTACGACCTGACTGACCCTGTTTCCCGAGCCTGCCTGTCCCACGTCTGATTCTTCTGCCTCGCCTGAGTTCTGCCTGGTCGGCCTCAGTGCTCTGCCTGCCTGCCCGTGTCCCCGACCCTGCCTGCCCGACTCTGCGCTCCCGTCTGATCCTCCTGGACTGCTTCCCTGGCCTCGACCCCTGCTCGTTCTGGACTACGTTTTGGATTATCCCTTGGAGTATTGCTGGACTGACCACACGGTGCCGACCTCGCCTGCCTGACCACGCCCACAGGATATTCCTGAGAATAAACCTGTTTGAACTGACCGTTGCCTCAGGGTGTTTTTGGGTCCAAAGAACAAACATTACA